TGTCAAATAATAAGGACCCATTTTGTTGGAAAACCTGAATACATTTAATTTATTCAGCCTTAATTTAAATAAAATATTTCCTACTCTTGAGCATTATTGGTAATTGATTCTACTATTAAAAGATGAACTAGCCTCCACTGCTCGTCCCTTATCCTATCTATCTTCTATTCTAGTTGACTCTCTTCTCTGCCTTTAGCAATGACCTGTTTCCTTAGTATCATTAATTGTTCCACAAGTCTTGTTGATTATTTGTTATACCAGTCTTTTGAGAGTATATATTTCTCTATGGATTTAGAGTCTACATTAAGTTTTTCATGTGTAGTATATTCAATTTGTGGCTCTTACCAGAATTATTTTGTTTTTTTTTCTTTTTTTTTTAAATTTTTTTGGTGTTTTTTTAAAAGATTTTATTGGGGAATTGGGGGAGGGGAACAGTGTTGGGGAATGGGGAAGGATAACAGACAAGTTGCTCTCCTGTTCTTCAGTCTAGTTGTGGAGGACGTTGCTTCACTGGCCCATGTTGGTATTATCATTGCGCTCTTCCCTGGTGAGGCAGATCAGTCGCTGGCCTCTGGACGGCCGTTCATGGTGGCTCTTGGCAGCTCACACTGGCTGTGGGCCACTCATGCTGGCTGCTGGCCACACGCAGTGGCTTATGGCAGCCGACTGCAGCAGGGGCTGCAGCCTATGCCATTGCCGGCGACTCACGGCAGCCCAGCTCCAGGTTGAGCTGTTGTTCACCATCTTAGCTGTAGAGGGCAGTGTCACTCGCCCTCATGTGGGATCTGAACCTGGGCCCTGCTGCTCAGAGCTGTTGTCCCAAGCCATCTCTTAACCAACGCGCCACTCGGCCGGCCCCATTACCAGAATTGTTTTGTATCTGCTACAAAACTAATTTTTATGCCATCTTTCTCTTATTCATTGAGGTGTACTCAGGAAATACATTTTGTTCAGTAGTGACTGAATTCAGACATGCTTTAAAGTTAAATCATGCATTTTTAGAATCCATGTTATTATTCCCTTTCCAACATTAAAAATGTTCCATTTCTATGTAAGTGTTTATGTGTGCAATAATATTTTTTTCCTTATATGTTAACATACTATGCCAGTGAATCCATTCCCACCTGGGTTCCATTAAATAGAAATCAGTACACACTTACGAGGGTCAACTATGTGGTAAAGTACTGTGTGTGTGTGTGTGTGTGTGTGTGTGTGTGTGTGTGTGTGTCTGTTCTCTAGTAGCTAACAGTCTAGAGAACGAAACATATCAGAAGTTTCTTAGAATGATAAGTGCTAGAATGCAGTTAAAAAGTGTTATGAAACATCTAGTGGGTGTGGGGGGATTAATATGCTTGTGTCCTAAGTCCTTGACCACTTAGGAAAACCATTTAGGGTCACACAGTTACAACCCACTAAACATGCATTTTTTGAGAATTGTGTTGAGGTGACTAAAGCTTCAGAAGCTATTCTTACTGGTTCTAGGGATTATTTTTCTTAGTTTAGTTTAAGTCTGAGGCAATTCCTTTGCATTACTGACACCTATCTTTCAGAGTGCTATTTTTCTAGTAGGTTCATGTTCCATTTCCAAAGTAAAAAGGCACATCCTAACATCTGTTATCTAATGTTTGAATTTCGTGGGAGATAAGTATTTTTCAAGTTTGAACACCACTGCCCCGGCCAAATTTCAATGTCAGCGATGGGAAATGTAACTGGTCAAATGCTTCTGAATAACGAACCACTCCAGCTTTTTATAAACATATCCCTTTGAAGAATAAAACCACAAATTAGCATTAACTCTGCACTGAGATTCTTCTGTATTTTAAAAATCTTTTCCTGTGTTACTTCTCTTGCAAAGTTTGAATGTAAGGGTAGAGATGAGGGGCAGTATAAATAAATATGATTGCATGAATGTCAACTGAAATTCTTGTTGAATAACCATGCTTCTCTTCCATTGCTTCTTGATGACTGGCTGTTAAAAAGAAACAAACAAAATTTAGCTCTTTCTTTGTGTAGATATCAATTTTCATTTACCTGGGATAAATATTCAGGAATGAAGTTGCTGGATTGTATGGTTAGTTGTTTAATTTTTTAAGAAATTGCCAAACTGTTTTCCAGAGTGGCTGTACATTCCTACCAGCAATGTATGAGAGATCCGGTTTCTCTACATCGTCGCCAGCATTTGGTATTTTCACTATTTTTTATTTTGGTAACAGGTGTATAATGATACCTCATTGTGCTCTTGATTTGCATTTCTGTAATGGTTAATGATGTAGGACATCTTTTCATGTGTTTATTTGCTATCTGTAGATCCTCTTCTAAGGAAATGTCTCATCATGTCTTCTGCCCATTTTCTAATTGAATTGTTTTTTTCACTGTTATGTTTTGATGATGATGATGTGTGTGTGTGTATGTATTTTTTTTAAGAAATTATATTGGGGAGCAGTGTGTTTTTCCGGGACCCATCAGCTCCAAGTCAAGTAGTTATCTTCAATCTAGTTGTGGAGGGCGCAGCTCCTTGGCCCATGTGGGAATAGAACTGGCAACCTTGATGTTATGAGCATGCGCTCTAACCACCTGAGCTAACAAGCTGCCCCAAGTTTTGATAGTTTTAAAAAATATATTGTGGAGGCCGGCCAAGTGGCTCAGTTGGTTAAGAGTTGGCTTGGGAGTGTGAGCTCTGAGCAGCAGGGCCACTGGTTTGGGTCCCACATGGACCAGTGACTCTGCGCCCTCTACAGCTAAGATTGTGAACAACAGCTTGACCTGGAGCTGGGCTGCCATCAGTGGCCACCGACAGTGTAGGTTGCAGCCCCTGATGCAGTGGGCTGCCATGAGCTACCGTGAGTGGCCGGAAGCCAGCCAGAGTTGCCGTGAGCCACCGTGAGCGGCCATCCAACGGCCGGCAAACGACTGTCTCAGCCAGGAAGAGCGAAATGATAATACCAACGTGGGTCAGTGAAGTGGCGTCCTCCACAACTAGACTGAAGAACAAAAGGACAGCAGCTTGTTTGTTCCGCTTCCCTGATTACCCAATGCTGATACCCTCCCCCAATTCCCCAATAAAAAAAAAATATATATATATATAGATAGATAGATAGATAGATAGATAGATAGATAGATAGATAGATATATTCTGGCTACTAATTCTTTGTCAAATAGGTTATTTGAAAATATGTTTTTCCACTCTGTAGCTTGTCTTTTCATCCTCTTCACAGGGTCTTTCACAAGCAAAAGTTCTTACTTTTGATGAGGTCCAGTTTATCAGTTTTTTTCTTTTTATGAATCATGCTTTTGGTGTCAGGTCTAAGAACTCTGCACAGCCCTCGATCCTGAAAATTTTCTCCCTATGTTTTTTACCTAAAATTTTTATAGTTTTCATTTCTACATTTAAGTATGTGATCCATGTTGAGTTAATTTTTGTATAAGTATGCAGAGTTTAGTTTGAGTTTCATATTTTTGTCTGTGGATGTCCAGTTGCTCTGGCACCGCCTGTCAAAAAGGCTCTCCGTACTCTACTGAGTTACTTTTGTACCTTTGTGAAAAATCAGATGGCTATACTTGTGTAGGTCCATTTCTGGGTTCTTGGTTCTGTTCCATTGATCTATATGTCTATCCCTTCATCACTACTACCCTGCCTTGCTTACTATAGCTATATATAGTAAACCTTAAAATCAGGTACAGTGAGGGCCGGCCAACTGGCTCAGTTGGTTAAGAATGTGAGCTCTGAGCAACAGAATCACCGGTTTGATTCCCACATGGGCCAGTGAGCTACGCCCAAGCTGAGCTGCTGCTGAGCTGCCAACAGGTGGCAGGATGGCTTAGCTTGGGAGAGCACATGCTCCTAACAAGGTTGCCGATTCAACTCCCACGTGGGATGGTGGGCTACGCCCACCCGCAAGTAGAATTGAACACTGCACCTTGAACTGAGCGGCTGTGAGCTGCCGTCGGGCGGCCGGATGGCGACTGGACTGGGAGCTGAGCTAGCTGCGCCCTCCACAACTAAGATTGATGAACAACAACTTGGCTGTTCCCCTTCCCCAATTCCCCAACACTGTTCCCCTTTCCCAATTCCTCATTAAAATCTTCATTTAAAAAATCAGGTACAGTGGTTTCTAACACTTTATTCTTTGTTTTCAAGGTTGTTTCAACTATCCTAGTTTCTCTGTAGTTGTGTGTGGGGTATTTTTCTTGGAGAAGCAAAATCTTGTGTAAAACTACCCAGTTGGTTTAACTCAACATTCCTTGGACTCTTTGGCAAGTGAAAGGGTTTCTGATTTTATATTATTTTATTTACTACTAAATAGTAAGCAATTCACATCAAAAGTATAATGTTTGATTAAATCCCATCATGAAATAATTAATTTTAAGAATAATTATCAGGGGCTGGCCAAGTGGCGCATTGGTTAAGAACTGGCTTGGGACGCCAGCTCTGAGCAATAGGGCCCAGGTTCAGATCTCACATGAGGGCCAGTGACACTGCCCTCTACAGCTAAGATGGTGAATGACAGGTCGACCTGGAGTTGGGCTGCCGTGAGTCACCGGCAACAGCATAGGCTATAGCTCCTGCTGCAGTGGGCTGCCATAAGCTACCGTGAGTGAGCGGCCGGCAGCCGGCGTGAGCTGCCAAGAGCCGCCGTGAGTGGCTATCCAGAGGCCAGCGACCAATATGCCTTACACAGGAAGAGTGCAATGATCACAATACCTACATGGGCCAGTGAAACAACGTCCTCCACAACTATACTGAAGAATGAAAGAACAGCCACTTGTCTGTTCCCCTTCCCCGATTCCCCAACGCTGTTCCCCTCCTCTAATTCCCCAATAAAATCTTTTTTAAAAAAAAAGAATAATTATCATCCTTAGGCCAAACTGCCAAATTTTATTTTGAGATCGCTCACATTTTCTATGTGCTTGCTTGTTAGTCTTGATGTTAAGTTGCCTAGTTAAAAGGCACTTTAAATGCCTTGAGAGTGTTAATAGCATGCTCCCTTTGTCTTTTTTAGATGGTGTTATCTGAAAAGGTTAGTCAGCTGATGGAATGGACCAATAAGAGACCTGTAATAAGAATGAATGGAGACAAGTTCCGTCGCCTTGTTAAAGCCCCACCGAGAAACTACTCCGTTATTGTCATGTTCACTGCTCTTCAGCTTCATAGACAATGTGTCGTGTGCAAGTATGAACTTTCAACTACACTTTAAAATTAAATAATTCTTAAGATTTTAACCATTTTTCAATCCCAAAAGAATCAAATGAGTTTATTGGGTACATAAACAATGTGTATACCTTACTTAGGATATTTATAGTAACACATAATATTATTGTTCTTTTATAATCATTTATTGGTTGTTCATATTAATGGGGGGAAAAAAGAGCAAGGATAGCCATCAGAGGAATTGTGGTAGCCATCAGAGGAATGATTTAAAAATCTAACAATCATCTCATATATTGATGTCAACTTATATAAATGTATGCAAATAGCGTTAATATAGCAGTTTCAACTTCATACTTTTTTTAATAAAGATTTTATTGGTGAACTGGGGGAGGGGAACAGTGTTGGGGAATTGGGGAAGGGGACCAGACAAGTTGTTCTTCAGTCTTCATTGTGGAGGGCGCCAGTTGCAATCTGGCTGCCCGTCAGCAGCTCGTGGCCTCCAAGCTCAAGGTGCTGTGTTCAATCTTAGGTGCGGGTGGGCATAGCCACCATCCCATGCAGGAGTCAAACCAGCAGCCTTGTTGTTAAGAACGCACGCTCTATCCACTGAGCCATCCGGGCAGCAGCTCAGCTCAAGGTGCCGAGTTCAGTCTTAGTTGCGAGTCGACATAGCCCACCATTGAACAGGCAATCTGTTGTTACACCAGCCTGAGCCATCCTGCCACCTGTTGTCAGCTCAGTGACAGCTCAGCTCGGGCACAGCATCACTGGCCCATGTCAGCATCAAACCAGCAGCCCTGTTGCTCAGGTCTCACGCTCTTAACCAACTGAGTCACTCGGCTGGCCCCAACTTCATACTCTTGTTTTATCAGAACAACCCCAGAAGATAGTAAAGCAAATATTCTCTTATTTCTGGAAGAAGGAAGTTCTAAAATTTTAACTGGTCTACCTACCCAAAGCTAGAGATATTTATTAATGCAGTAATAGGGGGCTACATCCAAGTTCGGAATTACAAGAGGATTTTTTTTTTTAGATTTTTTTATTCAGGAATTGGAGGAGGGGAACAGTGTTGGGGAATTGGGGAAGGGGACCAGACAAGTTGTTGTTCTTCAACCTTCGTTGTGGAGGGCACCATTTGCCATCTGGCTTCCTGTCAGCAGCTCGTGGCCTCTAAGCTCAAGGTGCTGTGTTCAATCTTAGTTGCGGGTGGGCATAGCCACCATGCCATGCGGGAGTCGAACCAGCAGCCTTGTTGCTAAGAGTGCATGCTCTATCCATTGAGCCATCTGAGCGGCAGGTCAGCTCAAGGTGCTGAGTTCAGTCTTAGTTGCGGGTGGATGTAGCTCACCATCGAACAGGCAATCTTGTTACACCAGCTGAGCCAGCCTGCCACCTCTTGGCAGCTCAGCGACAGCTCAGCTTGGGAGCAGCATCACTGGCCCATGTGGGAATCGAACTGGAGGCCCTGTTGCTCAGAGCTCACGCACTTAAGACAACT